TTGATCAAAATGAACAAACATGTTCACTAGAAACATCGACCGTTCAAAGAAATATTTTTGACTTTTTAAAGATCATCTTCTCCATGACTTGATACGAGTGACATATGTATGCACCGTATCCGTCTTTAAAAAAATCATTAAAACTGATTAGGAATCGCATCTTCAAAAAGACTAAATCTCTTGTATTAAAAGTAAATATATCATTAAATCTTAATAATAAATATTCGAGCTTAATTGAATATTTGATTTTTATTAAACTATCTCTTTTGAAAATAATTACACCTAATTTCAATATTCCAGTATTCGAACGCATGAGTTAAACATCAGTTTTACAAAACAAATAAATGAATATTGAAAACTTATAAACGAATATTCATAATACCTTTACAACACTCTACACCGGTAAAATCAACTCTGATCGAAAGGAATATCGAAATCTGAAAAAAGTCCAAAGCACAAAATATGGATGTGGGTGTGAGCGATGGTGTAGATAATGAGTCTGTATGTTGATGTACTCTTCCTCTAAATCCACACTGACACACGCATCGCAACAGAGAAAGTACTCAGAAGTCTTCATCTTAGTTTTCTAAATTTTTTCTTTCGGCTAAAGTTTAGATCATTGTTACAAACAGTTTCCACTAGGCATTGAGTAACAAGGGATGGATAGAAAAAACTAAATTGACTAAACTCAAAGTTATAAATTTCTCAAACGAACTTTTCACATTAAAACTTGAATAAAAAGAAAAATAAATTGTTCTGATTTTCTTGTAGAAAATAAATTCTTACTTCAGTTTTAGCTAATTTAAATTTTCGTTCATGTATTGGTGAATGATCAGGCTAAAACCATGTAATAAAAAGAAAAGATGAGTACATTAATTGATTTCATTTATTTTTGTTTATTTACCGAATGTGATCTTTTAGATGGACGTGTTTTGGATGGACTATTACCATCACTATTATCTGACATTATCGATGGAGATAGAATATCTAAAAATTATAAAAGCAAAAATATACAATTTTACGATGACTTATTGAAAAATTTCCTAAAGACTTCATGAAATTTAAACGACAAAAATAAAATACCTACTTGAGATGTTTTTGTTCTATGATAAGAGAACAATAGATAAATCGAATATATTTTTTATAAAAAGAAACCAATGAAGAAAAAATAGAAAAGAAAAGAAATTCTGAAATATCTTAGACAGTTAATGTCATTCATTTTATTTAAATTATCAGACGATAGTTGTCACTCTATTTATTTTATTTTGTTCAATCTTTGTTCTACGAGTTCACCTTATATTTAATGGATAAAAATTAGATAATGATAGATGTCGTTATCCATCGGATAAATCTATCAACTAAGTCGACACATACAAGAAATTTGATATATCTATGAATAAATTAAACAGAAAAACTTCTTATGAAATCTAAATTTAAAATTGTACTTTAATACAATTAACTGTTCTTTTATTTTATATCGAAAATTAACTTTGAAATTCAATAGATGGCTTCGTGACTTTTCAAACGTCATATGAAATGAACCTAAATTGACATGAACGAAGCCTGGAGATGTTAAGTCTGTCCGTCCATATTATATTGGTTTTATATGTTTCTTCATACAAAGAACAATCAACAGTTGTCGTTAGTTATCTAAAATATTTTGTACAAATTTTAAATTCTTCTTCATATTATTTGTAACTCCCTGGAATGAAAGAAAAATGCAAATTCTGTCATTATGTGACAATCTAATTATAGGATGTTTTTGTTCTGCTTATCATCAGTTCGAGATGCTTAAGAATAGTTAAAGAGAATACACAGAAGCAATTACATGTCATTAAGAATCAAATAAAACCCTTCAAAATTTTTTCTTTCCAATTGACATCAGTTTTGACTACTTTTTACAACAACCACAAATTGATGAATGACTGACTATACAAGGGTGAGGATGAGCTCTTACAATCAAATAGTTAGAGCGTTTGCACTTCAGAAAATATTGGTTATAATGTTTTTTTTTGCATTCATGGAGGAATACGTGCTAAACAAATATCCATTAATCAAATAATTTTGACATTAGTTCTGTTTGTCATTTTATTAGTGGCATCAACAACTCATAGTAAATACTAAGTGTAATCGAAGATGATAAGTACTATTACAAATTCTCAAGAAAAATACTCCTATAGAAATACAGAACCAACTTGTATAGTCTGTTTTGTTGTGCTATTATATACTATCAGTTATCCTGTACGATAGGACGTGTGACGAATTTAGAGAGTAGCACTGGAGGTGATCGTTCTTTCCTTCTGAAATATTTTCCTACTTTTCTTGAGGTATGTTCAGATTTATGAAAAAAGAAAATTAACGAATATTCCTTTCCTGAAAATCTGAATATTTTTCAATTTGGTTGAAAAATAATAAAAATAGGATACTGATAATGAAACATGAATATAAATACGTAAGTAGATTTTTGATTATTTCAATATTGGCATTCTATTTCTGTTATTTTTTAACCGAATCGAAAGACTTTTTTTTTACAAAAATTATCAGAAAAGAATTCTCTACAAAACGTAATATTTTGTAGTTAATTATTGGATACTTTATTTGTTATGAAAATATTCGTCTCGAAAGAGAATTACATTATGTGTTCTTTGAATTTTTCCAAGGTTTAATTGGTTGCAGTTAAGATATTATGTTTCTCTCGTTAGAAAACAATGTGAGCCAGAATTTTGTTGATCGTAATGTTATTTCAAAATAATATTAAACATAGTTCAATTTATAAACAAAACATATCAAGGTCGATCAAAGAAATCAAGCAGACATTTATTTGAGAGACAAGATGTGTCGAAGAAATTAAAATGTCATTATTTTCGGGAAGAGAAGTGAATGTATATCATCAGATATTTGAATATTATTTGCATTGATTTTACTTCGGTTTATTAACAATATAAGAATATGACTAACGATTGCATATATATATATATATATACAGTAGTGGCCAGAATTATAAGAACAGACTGCTATTCGCCTATTCACTTTGTGTTTCTCTTTCGACATATGATGCATTCGACTGATATTCAGTCTTATACATAGATTTCGATGTGCTCTTTCATAATATATGATCATATATTATGAAAGAGCACGTCGAAATCTATGTATAAGACTAAATATCAGTCGAATGCATCATGTATCGAAAGAGAAACACAAATTGAATAGGCGAGTAGTAGTCTGTTCTTATAATTTTGGCCACTACTGTATATCAAAAAGATTCTTTTATCGATTTCTTTTTCTCTTTCGTTCTACCAGTTCTAGAATGTTTATTGAAGTACAGATTCCTACAGGTATAGTTCTTAATAGTAGTTTATAAGATACTTTCTATTGTGATTATCTCTATACTGTGTAATGTATTTGAAGTAGAGTCCTACATCTGACTTCGATAGGGTAGGAGTTTCATCATTAAAACAGTCAAGTATTTTTACTCTTACATAGCAATAAGTTTATGCTTCATATGGTAAGTAATGAACAAAAAAAAACACTATTATATAGACTCATAAATAAGTTTTAAGAAAAAAATATATTAGAGATAGATTCTCATTAACAAGTACTACAAAAAGAAGTATACAATGGCTTCAAAGTTTAATTGTACAGATTTAATTTCGACTTTTTTTGTCGTAATAGTAACTCGCATAAAAAAATTTACATAATAGCTTGAATAGAGAAAATTGTTTTCAGGAAGGATTTGAGGGAAATAGAATCTTCACAATAACACCAAACTCTAGGGTCTTTAGAAAATCTCAAACCTAGCTTTTCAGCACCCAGAATCCGAATAAAAAAAGGTTTCTTTTGATCACATAGAACAACTGATTCTCTAGAAAATGAAACATTTCCGAGCTCTCCAGGACATTTTTTTGACTAAACCTGGATTGACGTTAAGAAACGTCCGTAGATAGGTTGTTTTTGCCATTACCTAAGGAAAAATTGAACAGAAAGGACCTTCAGGCTTCTCTTGAAATTTATGTTATTCAGTCAAAAAATTTCGTAAAAAGTTCGAACATGTGTCCTTTTGTAGACAATGGCTTTGACATACCGTATAATCAAAAGAAGTTTTAATTTCGGGTTCTGAGGACTGAAAAATTAGATTTGAAGTTTTCTAGAGATCTTAATTTGAAGAATATTGTGAAGATTTTATTTCTCTCAAATTCTATTTGGAAACAATTTTCTCTATTGAAATGATGATTTGAATATTTTATGCAAGTTACTATTACGTATAAAAAAAATTGAAATTAAATTTATACAATCAATTTTGTGAATCACTGTATACACCAGTCAAAAAACTTTTCGGAGTTGAAGTTATAGAAATTTAATCTCATAGAGCTATCATTTGAAATTGAATATTTTCTTTGCAATGCGAATGTTAAAAGTGATTTAAAAATGTATTCGGCTTTTATATATACACATATAAATTTTTCTGTATATATTTTTATCTAAATTATTTTATCGTGAAACACGAAGATTTGGTAATGAAATGTTAACATGTTCTTCAGTTTTTTTTTTAACAAAAATACAATTTAGTAGAGAAAAAAAAGTAATCTTACACTTTTCAGTATAATCAAACATCTCACTGTATTTTAAGTTCAAGAGCTAATTTGTCGTTCTGTAACGTCAGAAAGTAAAATCTCTCATCTGTAATTATTTAATTTCAAATATCAATGCTAATATTAGTATAATGTTAGCAGTTACCTTTTTATCTTCATTTTTTATTTCTTATTAATAGTTTATCATTAGTATTAATAATTATGTGTAAAAGCATCATCGTTTTTATAGAAATATGTTTTTGCTTTTAAAATACGCAATACAAATATAAGTAGAAGCAAAAAGATAATACTCTACTCATTAAGTAGAATAACAGAATAAAAAATGTTCTTTTTTCTCTCGTTGTGAACTTCTATCCTTCAGATTTATGTACTTTTTCATTTATGATTCTACAAAATATAGATTAAAATAAAATGAATCGTGAGAACATGAATATTATTAATGATGTAAGAATAATTTTACTTTCATAAATTATTTGAAATAATTTTTATTTCGTTTTTATTCATAGAATAAATCAAGTAGCATTGAACAGAGGTCACCATGTTTACAAGATGATTCAAATCAAATATTTGATATCACTAAAGAATTTCAAGAAGATCGTAATGATAATCAAAATAATAAAATTGAAAAGAAATCTTTAAAAGTTCTTAATCATAATAGATTGGTAAAAGAAAATAGAATTATTTGGTATAAAATATTTATCAAGTTTTTTTTAGAACAAAGATTCATTTCTTTACAATGCATCTTCTGAATCATCATCAATTGAACCTAACATGTCTTCATTATTACATTATCGAACTAATGAATTACCTCAATCTGTCATTGATGTAAATAATGAATGGGGCATAATGAATTGAACTAACTATAAATGCAATTTTTCAATTACTTACTATTCATATAGAACATTCACTCATACATTAAAAGCTATTAGCAGAATTCCTGCGGGATTAAAATGTAAAATATGAAGTAGCTATTGTTGTTAATCATAGGAAGATTGCTTTAGTTTATACATTTTGGGATGCATTTCTCTATCATCATTTGCTTAATCCTCCAGGAATTCAACAAGGAAGTAGTTTATATATTATAATGAGACATTATTGATATTCGATCTGGAGGGGCGGCATGTCGAAATATCGACACTCTTATACTTCAACAGTCCCTTTAAATTGTGTTTCACAAAAAAAAGGAGAAATTCAAGCTCTACAAAACTGTGTACTTCACAATTTGCACAGAACTTTTTAACACACTACTAAAGTACACTGTATATCCCTACTGTGGAACTAAAATTAAACGAAACAAAACGCGTGACATTACTGCTGAGAAATTCATTAGGTTTCTAAAAGGACGAAAATATTCTCGATGAAATCGTCTATCTTCCAAAACTTTAAACGACAGTTTCATACAAAAATTAAGAACACAATAAGTGTAAAAAAAAACAAAATTTTATATTGATTTCGGGACCTACGCGATCTTTCGAGAATTTTGGAGGAAATATGGTGCACTGTGTTTCGCCAGCTATGTAGTCTTGTAGAGAATGAAATTCTGCATTTTTTTGTGTCAAAGTTAGGACTGTGACACTTAACTTTAACTCAAAAAAAAACAGAACTTCATTGTCTAAAAAATCACTATAAAGGATATATTCAGCTCTCTAGTAAAGCTTGGATATAGAAAAGTGTATCGACCAAATAGAGAAGAAAATTTTTTATCTTTTGATATAAAATTCTCTACTTTTAAGATTCTTCATATTTTTAAACTGCACAAACAACGATTGGTCGCAGTGGGGATATACAGGATATATAAATGTTTGGTTTGTTGTACAAAGGCAAAATGTTTTTTTTAAAATTGAAGTTTTTAATTTTTTAAAGCTTGAAATTTTCTATCTTTTGGTGTATGAATGAATATTTTCTATAAATTTAAATAAAAGAGAAATTGCATTTACATTTAGTTTGATTCATTATGGCATATCTGTTGTCTATCTATGAACTCATTTATATCCTTTTCTTTTATAAAATCTAGCATAATACAACATCAATTCAATTATTAACAAAGGATGATCAACGTGTGAAACAAGAGAATATGATGGACAGGTTTAAAACAGACGTTATCGATGAAACTTTAGTACATAATAATGTACTTGTTCGTGCAAATAATTTAGGAAGAACAAACAAAAAACATGTTAAGGAGAATTTGTTTTTTTGATAAATATAAAATAATGATTTATTTAGGTTTTAATTAATATTCATCCAGATATGCGAACAAATTTTCATCAACGACGAAAACGTTCTTTTGTAGTTCCTGCACTTATTCTCATACCATTAGCTATTATCCTTGCAATTATCGTATATATTATCATTATCATAGTAAAAACGGTACCACGAATGAATTCAATATCATTTTATAAGCATCCACGTTTATAATTTTTTCTTTTGTAAATAAATGTTGTTCTTTTCGGTGATATTAACGTATATTCTATACAATTCAATGAGAATCCTTGTCAACAATAGGAACAACTATATCTAACATTAATTGATCATTTCAGATAACGACAAGCAATGATTTATTCTTTGAATGATAAAAAGCTTGATTTTTCATTCAAAAAAAATGTGAATAATTTGCATTGAAAGGAATATTTTGTTGGATTCCTTCACAAGAAGACAAGCAACATTATGCTGCGTTTTTTTTTCTAATATTTTGAAAAAGATAAATTTATGTATTTTAGTGAATGTTGATCATTTTGAACACATGTTATAAACTAAATTTCATACAGAAAAAAGAACTATTTATATTAATTGATTTAATTAAAAGACGTTTATTTTTGAGACACTCTGCATATGAAAATGAAAATATTGAAATGAATAATGTTTGACATAGTTTTCTTTTTCTTTTTGTTTGTAAAACTTTATTTTTTAATCTATGGAATAAGATACACTTAGGAATGTGTAGTTTCGGTTTATTGACTACTGACTCAGCGTACTTAGCACCCACTGACTGCATAGACAGATTGGAAAACTGAAACACATCGCTACAAAAAGGGCATATTTTGATTGGTGTCTTGAAATTTGGTTGAATACCCGGCACTCGACCCGGACCGATACATGGATCCGGTTGCTGAGCCTGACAAAAAAAAATATCGATTCGGGTTCAGAGTACGAGCTCATATCTGCATTCCACCGGGCAATTAATGAGATCTTGACGTTTCAAAATATTCTTACTTTTTCAAACTGCTATTTATATAAAAGCAAAGTAGTGAAAACCTAAGCAATTTATTGTACTTAAGAACAGATCATAAAAGTGTAAAACGAATTTGTTTTTAATGAAAATTCATTTACAGATGATGATAAATCATATGACGAAGTAACTGAATACATGGAGAGGAAAATGGATCATCAAAAAAATGAACATATATTACTCTGATGGAAAAAGCATTGATGTGTATGTACCCACAATTATGACGTTTGACATTAACATTGCGTTAGGTTTCAGCGTCATCAACAACAAGCCAACGTATACCTAGCGAAATTAATCGGATTTTAGAAGTAGAAAGATACATCCACACCCACACCCTTAAACATATTATATATTGACACTTTTACTTTTATTCAGAATATAAATGATTTGTTCATATTATTCATTAAAGATGCTTATGAATGTTCAATACCTACATCATGATCAACTATAACAAATGCATTACTCTCATTTCTGTACTGAGATAGAATTAAAGTCTTTAGGGTTCACAAATTTTCTACCAAAATTCAATGCGTAATTTTCGTATACAATGAAATTTTTTAATCGAAATCTCATACTGGCGCCGAAACGCACGCATCTGCAACTGTCCAATCGCTGTTGGCATCAGAGTATTACCATTAAATAGGCCTTGGTGAGTAGAGAAAAATTCTGCTTGGGTTTGCTGTTTCGATCTTCTCTGGTCGAGTTTTGGGAATTTTACTTGATTTTTGGTATATGACCATAGAATCTCTGAAAGGCTGAATGATGGAATTTTGAGCTGAAATTTTATCCGTATCTAGGTGTTATAATCACTAGAAACTTGCCAACATTTGAGTCTAAATTAATGTATTCTTACTGAGTTACCAGCTTATCGTGTAAACGTTCTTAATTTGATACATAGGCAGAAATTTCATCATTCGGCCTTTCAGAGATCCTACCATCATATGTCAAAACTTGAATAGTCTGATGCAAAAAGCAACTGGATAGTCAATAATATTCCCTCGTAAGTTCTAATTAAATCTTTCCTTTAGAGTACCGTACATTGGATCCAAAACCTCTTGAAGAAGTAGTAACAGAAATAATATAATCCTATTTAACTATTTCAGGACGGATGGTACACCGTATATACCACAGTCATTTGTTCTTAATAGTGAAGTATATTATGCATTGATGACTAAAGATGATTGGGTATGCATTCGAGTATGCTCGTAACAGATGTATAACGCCAGTGTAAGCATACTCGAATGCATACGCAATCATTTCTAATCGTCAATGTATAATATACTTCACTGTTAAAAACAAATAATTGTAGTAAATACAAGAGATGGACGAGTCTGTAGAAAAGTCGTACCGTCACCGCCCCGTCCAAAATGTTTTCAAAAACTGTTTCTCGACAAATTTTTCCTTAAACTTTCATAATGACTATTTTATTTCATGAGACGAAAAGGCATATTTTAAATGAATAAATATTATTTCGAAGTAGAAAAAAAAATAAACATGAAACCCTAGATTACGTTGTCATTACCATAATTTTTATTTTATAATTTTTTTTTTTGGAAACTGATCAACAGAGTGTATACTTTTTCATTCATGTATTTATCTTTGCATATTAACTTAACTACTAATTGATAGAAACAAATGAATAATAGTTAAATAACTGAATACTACCGAGAGAAAACATCCTAAATGAGATTAGAGTTTAACAAAATCTGAAGCTAAAGAAAACAAAAATAATATAAAAAATATTTTACCCCCCCCCCCCCCCTCAGAAACGAACTTTGTTATTTTCTCATCCGATTTCAACCTAAATTTCAGAGAATGTTAGTCTTGACTAGAATAGCTTATGGTTAAAATATCTCCCCCAAATCTCAAAGATATGCACAAGTTCCAGACAATTCATTACCCTTTACGCGGAGAAGGTTTTCACAATGGGGTTATTAGCTAATTATGTCGGGATGGTTTTTAAATTGTAGAATAACCTTAGGGCTAGATCCTCACAAGCTCCGATTTTTGAATTTCCCTTTGTTTGATTTTTAAAAATACTTTTTCGAAAAATGTTCAAATTCAAAGTGCTAATAAATATGAAATATCTGAGTTTTTTATTTCAGCAAAAGAGAAATTCAAAAATCGGAGCCTATGAGAATCTAGCCCTAACTGTCCTCTATTCAACAAAAAAAAACTATCCCTTCTCTATTGAGTCATTATTAAGAAATCCTTCCCCGCGTAAACGGTAAACTCGAAAAAATTGATTTTGAAAAAAACGAAAAAAAAATTTAGAAATGGATTTTTTTATTTAAGTTCCAAAAACAACATATGAAAATGGTATATTTTTAGAATTTTGTTGATTTTTAAAAGAAAAAGTGCAACTATAAAATAGCTGGCATTATACAAATTGTAGAGCTTTTCACGCTGCATCTTGTGGTATATTTTCTTTTTTTTTATAATACAATGTATGAAAATAGAAAAGCAATATTTTTCAGTTTTTGAGAGACTTTCGAAAATTCCGAAAATGTCTCGAAAAACATGGTAGTAGGTCCCCAATCTCTTTTGGTAAGATTATTAAAACCTAGCTTTTTTGGGAAAAAGGCATATATATTCTGAAAGAGGGGATTTCGGCGCATCTTCCTATGATAAAATCTCAACTTCGACTTTTTTCGAAAAGATTGGTTTTTATGACGCCCCCCCCCCCTTAAGTGATTTTCTCTTTAATTAATTTTTGTTTTTCTGTGTAATTTGCAAGTCATGAAACGAACATCTTTGATATCATAGATTATTCAATTTAATTACTTTATAAATATTTTTTTACATTCTTACATTTTGTTTAAAATAAATATCTGATTGACCTTGAAAATAACAAATGGTTTTTTATGAGTAATCTATATGATATATATATTATTGACATCTATATTATAGTTTTGACATTTTCTTATTTTGATATTCTTGCTAAATATTAACCATTTGCTTTCCTCATATAATTTATTACTACTTCGAATTGACAAATTAATAGACAAGTATGAATTACAAGAAGGAATAAAACATTGTTTAAGATAGATAAATAATTAAAGAACAAGTAAATCAAATTTGAAAAAGTTATTCGAAAGTTACAGAAAATTTTCTCAAAACATCATTCATTATTTACCAATTCGATCTAAAAGGGAGTTTGAGTACATTGTGTCATCATTTACTCATATTCATGTCTAGAATCATTTTTCTTATCGATAATTTTTCATTGTTAAACTCAGATAATATCTCCGGGTATTCATTTCAACATGAATTACATGATCATAAGGATGAGAGATGTGTACAGATTGACTTTGTCGGAAGAGAAGATAATGAAAAAAAGTTTGAAAGTACGTAAGTCTGTTGATCTTGATCGAATATATTCGACTATTAAAGTTCAGAATATTGTTCATGTTTTAGTTCAGGAAAAAGTAAGATTTTAATAATTGGTCTAGCCCGATGTTTTGTGGAATTCATATGATGTTTTTCCGACCAACAAAAAAAAATACTGAGTGTAAGTTTTAAGTCGAGATTTTGTAGCTCAGTGTATAGAAACTGAGGACAACAGGCATCAGATTCCTTTTCCAGAGGTTTTTAGCAACGAAAAAGGTGTTGGACAATATTAACAACAAGTCTTAGATTGTTCTAGAATATTTCAAAGCCTTTCTGGAAATTTGAATGGTTGGAATACATTTGTCAGTACTTTAAATAATGTAGTTTTTTATTTTTTTTGTAGATAAAAATTTATATAATATATATTTCAAGGATAATAGGTAGTGATTAAGGGTCTAATGACGTACTTTAATACTTTTTGGAGTATACAGAGTATAGTGAAAGTACAAAAATAAAATGAGAATGAAATAGAAGCACGTGAAATATAGTAACAGAATCACGGGAGTGCATTAAGTATAAAAGTACGCCATTGTCTTCTTGAATTTAGGTGTAGATTTTTCTTCGTTATAAAACTGTACTCTCATACTTCTTGCATTTTGGAGAGTACGAGAGAATGTTGCTTTCTTATTGGTAGTGATGCACTGGTTGTCCACAGTCGTCATAAGATTAATATAAAAAGTGTTGAAATGATCAGGTTATAACTTCAGAAAATAGTCAATATCAGTGTTTGCGAGCTGATGCACATATATATACTATAATGGATTGAGATCTGTTGCTGTAGATATAACGGATATGAACAACAGGCTTATTTGCCAGTTAAATCAACCATAAGAATAATAATATCGTTAAATTAGAAAAATACAATAAGAAAATGAAAAGCAACAAGGCAAACAAAATACGTATAACAGATCGTTTCTCTGCCGATCGATTATCCATGGAAAACAACAAAAGTCTGTTAGAGGTTTTTCACTTTACGTATTTTATATTAGTATAATGAGACTAAAAGAACACATCTGAGTTCTTCCTTTTTGTTCCAAAGAATCTGTACTAAAAAAAACTTTTTTATTTTATTTTTTTGTTCATTCTTCAATATCATTTCTACTTAAATGCTAGTCTACTATAGAAACTTTATTAGTTTTTACTACAAATGTTGAGATGAAAAAAAGATTCTAGTGCACTATCACACAGCAAAGGTATTTTAAGCAAGATTAAATAAAAAAATATGGAATTTAATGATAATTATTTTTGCTGAAATTCAGGATGATTATGTAGATTTTCTAATAATTTTTTTGGTTCAAGTTTTTGTTCACAAATAAGATAAGCGTCACGAAACATTGGAAATTTATCTAATAAATTTTTTGCTTCAAGAAAACGATAAACTTCTTTAGCTGTTCCAGGACCTTGCAATGATTGTCCATTAAGATCTTCTTTTTCAATTTCTTTTAATGATTTATTTGTTTCAGCTAATTTTTTTGCTCCATTATAATTTCTTCCACCTAATGCTGATGCAATTAAATCAGCAATACCACATGATTCTAAATAAAGTTCTGGTGTTGATTCTTTTTCAAGTAGACGACAAAAATTAACCATTTCTCGAAAACCTAATCGAAGAACCTTGAAATAAAAAAAAAAAAAAAGAACAAATTTTTTTTCTAGTACAAATGAATGAATCAAAAAACTAAAAAATTAATCAACATACAGCAGCTCGAGTATTAAAACCAGCTTTTAAACCATCGGCAAAACCAGCACACACAGCAATAACATTTTTTAAAGCACCAAGCATTTCAATAATTTCAACATCAGGATAAAAACGTAAACGAAACTCAGGTGTATCAATTAATTGTCGAACTATTTCACTATGTTTTTCATCACGTGAACCAACTGTGGCTTCACAAAAAATTTTTTCAGCTACTTCATGAGCAATATTAGCTAGAAAAATTAAAAACAAAACAAAACAAAAAAAATATTCAAATAATGAAAATACAAAAATCTAAATAATATTTAACAAACCTCCCATCAAACAAACACAAGGAATATTTAATGTATTTTTAATTAATTGTGAAACTAACATAAGATCATTTGTTTGTTCATCAACATAAAATCCCTAAAAAGAAAAAAATTTTTTCAATTAATTTCTAATTTTTTATTTCTAACTTTAATTAATGTTAATGCAAATGCAGTTGATTTTATTTTATTTTTTAATTGATCACAAGTTTTTTTAACAAATTGATGAGGTATAACAAATATAAGTACATCAGCATCTTTAACTGATTCACAAAGATCAGGTTCTGCAATAACATTGTCAGGAATTTTTTCATGTGGTAAATATTTAACATTTTCATGTTGTTTATTAATAACTTGTGTTAATTTACTTCCATCATCTAATGTTTCTTCTCTACACCACATTAAAATTTTTTCATCATATTGACCTTTTAATTTACGAACTTTTTCACCAATATGAATAGCACTTTATTTAGAGAGAAAAATAAACATTTTTTTTTTTTTTTGTTTTTATTAATCAAAAATGATAATAAAACTTACATTGCACTTCCCCAATTACCCGAACCAACAATTGCAATTTTTTTCGGTGCTGTTGATGATGACATTTTATGTATTATAAACTAAAACAACAAACAACAAACAATAAAATATTTTGAGATTATATGCCATCTTCTTACTAAACGAAAAGCATATCGGTTTTTTGTTTTACTTAAAAAAGTATTGCGATACTGTGCTCATTTTTTTAAAAATTACATTCATTTTCGTTTGTTTATCTACATATTATGTTCTTCTATACTGTACAACAACAATAACAACAACAAGCATGACTCAAAGAAAAAAAAAAAAAAACAGAACTATACAACAATAAAGAATGTCCGATAAAATCTCTATTGTCGATTTAATCTTTGACGAATATTAAATCCACGTAAAAATAATGCATATACAATTATTCCACATAAAATAACATAACCAGTTATAATTGAAATTGAATAAATTGGTCTTGTTGTTCGATTAAATAAAGTCTTAAATAAATAAAAATAGTCATTTAAAATCAATCATTAAAGATTCATATACATACAAGACAAGAAAAAAGCATATGTGTTAAAACAACAACTATTGGACCAAGATATTGATGAATACCACCTTGATCTAATGATGTAAAAAGAACGACACCCCAAAATGTATTTAAAAGAATAATAGCTAATGTCAGAAAAGCTAAACAAAAAATAAAAAAACAAAATTTTATTTATCAGGTTCTCAAATGTCAATTAACCTGTTGCAATAAAAAAATCTTGTGAATGTCCAAATATTCCAATAGTACCTGGACCGGTCATATCACTCAATACATTAACAATAGCAAATGTTCCACTTATGAAACCAAAACCATAACCAGCAGCTTCAATTAGAAAAGAAAAACAAAGGAAATAAAATATTTAATCAATATGTTAAATAATAATGGAATCAATAAATTGACTGTTTTATCAGTAAAATGAATGAGTGATCAGTTAATGATGAATTAGACTTGTTAATAAATTTAAAGATCAATCAATAAAATTTGCTAACAGTCAAATAACTCAAACGGTAAGTATTTAAATTGAAAGACGCTATAGTATGATTCACTTTTTTTTCTTTCCTTGTACTATGTGGAACAGATGGTATTTACGACATACATATACCTATTCTTTGCATCTGTTCTTTTCTTCAAATTCAGCTCAGTATTAACGAGTAAAAACGAAAAATATCAGACAACGCAGTCAAACGCAAAAACTTATAAAATGCGTGTGCATATATGAATCGTTATGACATAGCAATGTGTATGTGAACGTTTCACAAAGTAAACTATATTCGTGTTTGCCTGCATGAAACTTGGCGCATGTACAGGCTTAATATTTTCGGTGCATGCCAGACAATTTTAGAATGGTTAAAAAAGCGAACTACATGTAGTAAATAGACATGAATAAATTCGCAGGAGTTTTTTCCAAAGATAAGATTTGAACATATATGTTTTGCTTTATGTAAGACGAACTTCTTCATCATTTGACTATCTATTTACATTAGAATTGCTATGAAATTGAAGGATATAATGATCATCTAATAACTATTAGGCATGTGCAAACATGAATGCTAACAATTATAAACGAATGCGAAAAAATGAAGAAGATTCTTGATTCAATATAGTGCGGATATATGAAAGTGATTTTATTTTAATGAAAAATGAATAAATACTAATTTTCGTAAATATGATCTTTTTTCATTGACATGCAGAGTTGAGCAAAATTCTAGTTATCTTACAGGTACACGCCAATAACACTTTGTGAGTCAAATATCTTGCATTCAACTATTTGCACGGATAAGAGTCATGTACAGTCTCGCATGTTTTACTTAAAAACTGGTATTGTATTTGTACGGGTGTGGGTATGGATCTAGTCCTGACTATTTTCATCTACAACCACACCCATCCCACATCCTATAGAAGTCGGAGCTGTACGGTTTTAAAATACAGACTGAATACTACAAAATCGTGCAAGAATCAATCTGAGACGTCGTAGAGTAGCCTATAGAGCCATATCAAAAGAGGAGCCCCAAAAATGGCTGTTTTTTGGTGCTTAATATACTCAAATCGTTTAGAAATTGATATAAAAGTTTCTACATATGGAACGATTTTTTTAACCAGTATAACTCGGCATATAATCGTCTATTAACTGACATATATAACTTTTTAGAAAATGACAACAAATTTTTTGACCATCAAACTCAGGCGATACAGAGAGTTTAAAAAAAAACTTTTTGTCATTTTCAAGGAATTTATATATGTCAGTGAATAGAGGATTGTATGCCGATGTATACTGGATAAAAAAATTGATCCATGTGTTGAAACTCTTAGTTTCAACACTGATATGATGTATATTTAGCATCGAAAATGAGCCATGTTGGGGCTTCTCTTTTGATAAGGTTCTGCAGGCTGTTTTACAACGTCTCAGGCCGATTCTCACAATACCTTGTGGTACTCAATGTGTAGTTTACATCATACAACTCCGACTTTTATAGACCAGATTTTCCTGTAGATCTGACTCGTCCAAAATCGTGATTTTCAGCAAAGTCACGATTTTGACGAACGCCTCCTCAGCGACAGGAGTTATCTAGACGGCTGGAATTACTACTAGAATGAGTACCCATTGAAATATCTCTCTAATCAAAATTTCAACTATTTAACATGATTCATTCACGAAATATGTATATGCACATATATCGAAAAATGATAATTTTTTTGTGTACTTGGTAGTATTGATCAACTTATCAACGGTTCATCCATTTGAGCTCATTTTTTTGTATGGTAAGTACTCAAACCTCAAATCTATTCACATTGAAAAATTCAAACCAAACGAATTTATCTATGATGAGATAAAGCTATCACAAAAAATGTGCTGTTTTTTGTCGATAGTTGATCTTAGAAAAATCTATATATCCTAAGAATAATACAATATTTTTTTCCAAGCGGCTCGGTTAGAAATTCATCAAACTCTTGCCGCTATAACATATATAAAAACCTAGCCCAATTGACGATCATCGATTGAGTAACGTCGGTCATGACTAATGTGGAATGGCTCATAATAATCATCTGTCGTTCTTTTTTTTTTTTTAATTACCATATGCAACAGCAAATCTATCAAAAACCATTCCTTTTTCTGTTAATTCTTGCATTTGAACTTTTTGTAGAGCAAATTCAGCTTTTCTATGACAAATAAAATTAACCAACAATAAAAAAAAAAAAAAAAAAGAAATTAAGATAAAATCTTTACTTAATAACACGATAAAATAAATATCGAAATATTTCTTGAAATAAAACAGCAAATGGTACTGCAAATCCAAGTTGATTTCGTAATGGAACAACTGCAAACCAAAGTAATGAAGATAATAATAATGATAATAACCAAAAAAATGCACTTGTCATTGCAATAATAACACGAAATGGATGATGTGCAATTGTAAATACAAACATTGAGAAAGGTATTCCATATGCAATCAAAGTACAACCAGTACATTCAATGATCGTCATTATCTAAAATAATTCTTCTTTTAAATCAAAAATAAAAATTATGATTAGATTTATCTAATGTTGTGTTTATTTTTAAATGAAAAAAAAAATATCTAAGATATCGAACGAACTGAAGTATCAATACGATGAAGTTCAACTAAATTTTTCATACGTTTAAACCATGGTTGAATTTTTGTATTATCCATTAGATCTTGAAATGCTTCACTTCCTTGAATAGTCGTTAGAATACCATAAACATTTAAATCAGCTAGATTTGGTTCGGATCCACCTAAATGAAAAGAAAAAGAAATAAATAGATTGAATTAAAATCTATTCATTTTTTTATTTATTCTGACATTGTTTTTCATATTAATTAATAAACAATTAATCTATATTCTTAAATTCTTTACGAAAAAAAAAAGTTTGCTCTACATTTTATGTTTCATTAGCTTAATGCTAGAATAACGTTGGGCTAAGGTCGGAATATTCTCGGAGACAGTTATCGTCGAAAGATGTCAGCATCATAGATGCTGATGACAACTATATATGATATAAAATATCATTTCTAACGCAAGATAAGAACTATAACAAGAAACTAACATGGTCTTATATATGTATCCAATTGTCATGTATGAAGGAATCTGTGCAAATTTGATAAAAAATAAAGAAAGAATAATATTCGTATGAGAACAACATTTGATAATTGTTGTATTAGATATAAGCGAAAGAAAAAGAAATGATCACGCCTAATCTCAGTTGCTTTCATTTCATTTATATTCCTTCATCATATTTGATGAATCCTCTGCTCTTTAGATATACAGTCGAGAGATTTAATAAAGAATATTAGCAATAATAATCACATGTCTCAATAGTCCATCTGACACATTTATTTTCATGCTATACATTCAATTAAATACTATTTTTTTAATCTCTGTTGGATCATTTTTGGCTCATTCATAGAAACTATTCATTTAGAGTAATAAAGTATCAGATCATGATAATGCTCGAGAGCATTCAAAGAACTACAAATTTCTAACAACAAAATTAAACTTCTTTTTATGATTTTTTGGCTAAGATTTATAAGTTGGACATTGACTATTTTCATGTTTGTGAGGCTGGTATATGCTACTACGGACATAATAATTTTTGATTCATTTGTAGTGAGTAACATGAAAAATATTTTTTTCTAGAATTATTTTATTTTTGATATATACTGATAAATCATACAATTTTCATTCTAAAAACTTTTTTAGAATTAATAGCCAGTCCAAAAGCATTCTATGGTTATTTTTAAATAATTTCTTATCGATAAATAACAGAAATCTGCAACTTTTGTTATGACCTTTCATGTGGGTGAAATTTCAACAATAGGAATGAGTGATTTCGAATCAGAATCAGAACGAATAATTCCATATTATAAAAAACAAATAAAGACTAACGAAACCAAACACGATCCAAGAAATAAAACAACTGATTTCAATCCGACAAATAGCTGCCTTTACAAGTATCTAACCATATATTATTTCCTGAAATGACTCATTTTTCAAAAAATAACTCATGATAATCTGTGCTGATTTAATATCAGGAAGTAAACGGTTAAATCAAAGTTGCCGTAGGTACCCTATTTTAAAGTAAAGTACCTCATTGGAGTATTTTTTTTTGTCTCTTTATTAGATGCAATGAACTGTATGTTAATAGAAATCATGAAGAACTACCTATTTTATTCACAGAAGTTTTTGTATAATTATAAAATACATATATAAGGTACTATCATACAATTATTTAAACTGAATTCTTCTTCAAAATCACACTGAGCTATTGGTAAAATATAGATGTATTTTCGATAAGACTTAGCTGATAAATATAAATAGTTAATGTTTATTTATAAACTTTCAAAAACGAACATCTCTAATCATTTCCTAGACGAAAGAACATTAGACATAGCCCTTCTTATCAAGAAAAAAACCCTTCCCAATTAATTTTCTTTCAGAGTATCTCACGTTTTGTATAATTTCTGTACTCCTTTTAAACTTTGTGATATAATAACGTTCATATATACTTTACAGACATTGAATTAAAAAGTATGCTGAATTTTCATTGACAACTAAGTCTCTAATAAAGCCTTTGTATTTTCATAAAATTAGATTATTAGGGCTAGTCCAAGGGAAAAACAGCAGACTCCATGGAACTTCAAGCTTGGAGAAGCAACAATTGGTCGCATGTTTGATAGAAGCTTAGTTTTCTTTCACGTCTCACAAACCTTAATTTACACATAAGTGATTCAATTACATACAGTGCAGCGTGAAGGTGAAGGCGGCATATAAAAAATGAAGATATATCCCATGGAATGGATGAGTAGATGAGAACTATACACATTGTAGACGAGCGAAAACTGTAGTATATAGGAGTTAAAAAATTAGGAACAAATTATATGAATTCTGGATATTTTTCAAAGTAATTAGTAGTTGCTCTTGTATAACGTTCTGTATACAATTTGACGAATTTACTAAACATTCGTATTTATACTCATATCTTATGTTCGTTATTCTTGAATTAATTATCTAACAGTTTAAAGTATTTTTTGATTATATTATTTGAAACATTGTATTCTTACCATGAAAATCTTTCTCACCAATAGAATTAACCCATTCATTTCCACATGCATATAAAGAAATTCTAACATTATCATTTAAATTATATTTTTTCTTAAGATATATTGCTAGACCACGCATAGTAATAGCACCAACATAAATAAAAATCCAACGTTGATACCATGGAAATATTTCTTCCCATTCACCAACTTTTGAAAACCAATGCATTGTATTAAGTGATTGTCTTAATGTACAATAAATATTTGGTGATATTACATGAATAAATGTATTATCAACCCATTCACGCCATTGACGTTCATATTCATTTTCTTCATTAGATTTTGGTTTATAAATAGGTTCATTTTGAAGTTTTTTTGAATCAATATCAGATTGAGATATTGATCTTGAAAAAAATCTTGAAAAAAATCTAGTAAAAAATGATTCTGTTTGATTATTAACTATTGGTTTTTGTTCTTCTTTAATTACTTCTAATTGATCATTTATTAATGGTTCAATAATAAAATATCTATTTGGATAATTAAAAATTAAATTTCCTTTTTGATCTTTTTCAACAACTGATTTATATAATTTCATGATATTTTTAAATGTTTGTGTTGGTTGACGTAAATAAGACTCAATAGCTGATATAATCATATTGGAATCATTTAATTGTATCTGTTCATTTTCAATAACAACTATTGGTACACTATTATATAAAGACCATTTCGTTTCTTTTTGCGTTACACTATTCACTTCGACTATGTCATATGGTATACGATTATAATTTAAATAAGCACGTACTTTACAACAAAATGGACTAAAAAAGAAATAATAAAATTTCATCATAAAAAGAATAATATATATATATATATATTTTAATCAAACAAACCAAGTTACAAATTGATAAAGTGTTATATTAAATGGGAAATTTTTTCGTGGTGGAGCATCAAATGTAATATGTTTAGTTACCGGTGGTGGTAAAGGACGAGCTTCCATAGCTTTACGTTCGAGTAATTCAGGATTCGCAACATATTCAGGTAGACTTCCTTCATGTTTTCTTACTTGACGTAAAGCATAAATTGTACCGATTAATGCTCCAGTGGCAATAGACAATACATAATAATGATACCGACGAAGACGAGGTGATTGTTTAGCTGATGATGGATTAACTTTTAGTTGTTTTTTAGCTTGAATGATGTCATTGTTGTATTGATTCGAAGAAAGAAGACGAGGAGTAAACGATAGAAAACGTTGACGATATAGAGAAGAAATATTTCGACTAGTTGAGATAAGAAAGAGAGACATTGGTTTAGGTCGTTATAAATATGTTAAATTTTTTAAACCAAAGAACTTCCCATCCTTGATACTACAGCTATAACATATATTATCAGAATATACTTTAACCAACAGAAATCCAATGTCGAATAGATGTCGCCCATTTACTTATGATTTGAATTTCTTTTTTTGTCAAAACACTATAGAATCAAGAAATAGGAATATTTGGTAATTAATGAAACAGTAACTATTGTAATCATTGACATCGTTTATCTAATATAAAACATAAAAAGATTTAGATATTAAAACTCGTGAAGAAAAAATGTTGAATCAATGATCTTAAATGTATATGAGAAGTTGTAAAGCCATTCCATTTGAATATACAGATCCAAATGGTTTGCTACGATTATCATGTAAGGTCATAAATAAATAAATGTATGATGTTTACACACCGAAGTTTAATGTAAACCAGATCGATATGTTCTTTGATCATATGTATAATGTGTCATTGTGACATGTTTATAGCTGCAATAAAATGTGCATATGCAGTTGTATTTTTGCAGTATGTATATAGTTTAGCTACTGAGTATGATCATTGTCACATGAACTGCATAGTATCATTCTACAGTACTTGTGATGGTTCCCACATAGTTAAAGTGAGGTAGCTCTATTTAACTGTATTTATATTACACAAGACTATAAGTATTTCATTGTTTATCCTACATGAAAGTCTTTATGCACTCAGCATCCTTCTATAGATGTGATACTTTGGATGAATTCACCTGTTCATGGAAACAATTGCCAAATATTATGTATCAGACTTTGGAAACATTAAGCAAATGACGTTTTTGTATGATTATTGAAGCACGAGTACAGACAAATTTTTACCGTCAATAGCCTGACAAGGGTGACACACCTAGGCTTAAAAAATGCATGTAAGAGATCGAGACTACATTAAAATACTGTAACCCTATACATTAGTTACTTCTTAAGAATAAACGACCGATATAAAGAATAGGAAAACTTGCATATATCTATTGTAGTCTTAATAGTGACACTAACATCAACCATCATAAAATGTTATTCAAAGATATTTTAAAATCTCGTAGTTCATTGCATTGGATACAGGTCAACGAAAGGTATCGTCTAATGTGTAGAACAGTTAAAAAAAAGTAAACGAAGACTTGGCATTTAGAAGAAAAAAAATAACAGTACCAAATAAGACTCAGCAAAGTCCGTCGATTGTATGTTATTATATAGTAGCTAATTACGGATTTGAGGCATTTCAATAATATATTGGATAAATACAATCCGTAAACAGTGGCTTAATACGACACGTTTACGTTATTGGAGACTTAAATAACGTATTTTCAGTATCAAACTTGACAACAATATTTTTCGCTCTTAAAAAGTCTCCAGAATAAGCCGATTGAAATATCAAAGAATAACATTTAGGTAAAAAATCTATCTATCTAATATCTGATAAAATAGCCAGATATTTATTTAACTTCGGTATATAAGAAAAATAATTGTATATCGATTGATAAATACAGTGATATCATCTCGAACATCTGCAAACTAATCTCAAGACTTTTTGAATTTTGATTCAATTTTAGCGTAGTTTTAGATTTTAAATCAAGTAACAATTGATCATCTCATTTCATCTCGTCATAATCGATGTGCTTATGGAATATTAAGCAATTGTGCATGATACACTTGAGACTTTCGGCACGCCTATGTGTATCAATGCTTATAAATCGTCCACGTTACCGAGTATCATGCATGTAGAGGTATAAGATAACATGAGATTGTGTAAACAGCTAAAACCAAGATAAAGTAACATACTACTGTAAATCTGCAAGATCAAAGAGAAATTGTGAAAAGAAATATATTAAGTGTCTAACATTATTTTTATTTTTATTTCTATTTATATTATCGTCAAAAACTAAATCAACAATTAAATAATGTGTTAGTTAATTTATCAAATAAATTTTTTTATCAAACGAAATAATTAAATAAAACCTTTTGTTAATCAATTGTATTGATATGAAGTTTAATTATTTGGATTGAACGATACGTTTTTGTTCAAGTAAGGTTTCAATAGCTGCTCGCCATTGTTCATAACCTGTTTGATTCATTTGCCAACCAGCTTGATATTCACCTTTTCCAGGAACTATATAAGTTATTATCAAATGTGGACGATCAATTCGATAAAGGCCATTAAACCCTATCAAATAGAAATAAATGAAAACAAAATTTTGATTTCTTTTTTTGTAAACTTACAGGCTTGATCCTGAATATTTGTAATAGCAAAAAGAGGTATATGTATAAAACCTCGATCTTTACAACAAGAAGTACCAATAACTTGAGAAAAAATACCATCTTCTGTTAAAACCAATTCTGCATTACCCAATGTCTTTCAATAAATAATAATAATTCATTAAAATAGAAAATAACCAATAAACATACTTGACAACGACCTCGTGCTGTTGTTCCATGATATCGAGAAATTTCGCCTTTCGTTTGAAGAACTGTTGCTGAATGAATTCGATCATGCTCTAGTCCCTTAATAGACAGACCACAACCCATGATGATTAAATATATTTTACGTTATTTCTTACTCATGAAAGGCTACTCAGGTGATCTATTTTATTTGTTCGTTTCATATGAATACATCTCGATGATGAGTCAATCGATCAAAAGCAAGGTAAATATCATCAAATCAATTCGTCAATACTCATCAATAGGTTTTCAAAAATAATTACAGATGTCATTAGAAAAAAATATCGTCAATATATTTTAGAATAACTAAGATGGATCAGAAAGTAAACTGTAAAAAGAAGAAAATTCATACAATAATAAATAATATTACTGTTTCGCGAAATATCTTCATTTTCTCTGTTCTTTTTATTCTTTTCCTGTTATTCTATCCTATATTCATCTCTTCTACTTTCTTATAATAAACTTGTGTTGTACATGTAATAGACATTCTGGAGTAATAAAATTACTCAATAAACATCATTATCGAGGGTTGTGATAGAGGTACTTTTCGAGTTTATAGTTACAATTTACTTCATTATGTTTTGCTTCGTATATACTGGCAACATCAACAACATATTTTTTTGCTTTGCTTTTGGTAATCTATTACACGTATGCGAGAAAGAACAATATAAACAAATTTATACTCACAGGAAAACATTTCCAAGTGATTGCTCTGTTTACCTTCGTATTTTACCAATATGTAGGAGATTACTAGAATAGCGTAATTGCCAAAGATTTTCTGTTCATGCTTAGATTTAGTTGAGATAGCGATTTTTTAGTAGATTCCTCCTGCAGGAGTCCAGTTTTCGGAAAAAATTATATATTCTGGAATTTCGACCTGAAACGTTGTACGTACAAAGGTCTCTATTAGACTATTTCATGTATAAAGTTTCATCCATTTTTGATATCGCATTGGTAAAATATAGATTTCTCAATATATTCCTGTTTTCGACAACACTTAAAGAAGCGTCTAGATATATTGAGAAATCCATATTTTATCAATGTGATATCCAAAAGTCATGAAACTTTGTACATGGAATAGTCTAATAGGAACTTGAGGGGTGTACAAAGTTTCAGGTCAAAATTCCCGAATATAATTTTTTTTTCCAAAAATTGAACTCATGCAGGAGAAATCTGCTAAAAAAGCCGCTATCTCGTGGCTAATATAAGCATAAACAGAAAATCTTTGGAGATTGCACTGCTTTAATGACCTCTCACATATTGCCAAATAAAATGGATCGATTGAAAATGTTCATCCATCAGTAAATCAGTATGAAAGAATGTATTTTGTGTCACTCCTGCTGATTCTTAGTTTACTATATAAAACAGTCCTTGATTCACAACACGAACAATGTTATAATAAAATACTTTTCTTTGTTTTGGTGTAGCGCAGTAAATAAAAAAGAACGATTAAAATACTATGTCTACTCTTTCTGCTTCTCTCTGCCGATAAAAGTTAAAATAAAAAGACACGCACAAAGAATTATTTTTTTTCTGTTTTTTACCATGTCCTTAGTTGACGATGACAACCACGACGCCAATGTTTTACCATTTGCTGATTGTGAAATTGCTACTGACGTTCATTTAGATCGTGCAATTTCTCAACTATCGAAACATAATAAAAATACAAAGACACGCCAGAAGTCAAGAAAACGACGATTCAATGATACTAACAATGACAAGGATATTAATTTATACAATGCATTATCTTGCATCTATTTTGAAAATGCGGAAGAAGAAAATAATTTTCTTAAATTTATTCCATATACAGGACCCAGTAATACTTTACATCTTGGACAACATCTTTATCTCCCACAATTAATATCAAATACTACTAATGATTCAAAGTTTAGTTTTCAACGTTTTATTCAAGATTATGATCAAACAGCAATCACATTTCTAACATCATCATTGGACACCATGTCTCTTTCTATCTATTTACGTTTTGGAATTTCTTATATAACAAAAATAGATAGGACATCTGATGAATCAATGTCTCTTAGAGATTTTACAATTCTTCGAACTCGAGGTTTTTATTTTAAAAAAAAAAACAAAAATTAAAAGTCTTAGTTAAATATTTTCTTTTTATTTATCATAGGTAAAAAACTTAAAACATCATTCTATACATGTAAAGGTGTTACTTCACCAAAACGTCTTCTAACAACAATTACTAAACTTAATTATCATCAAATATCATCAAATACATATTCATATGAAATTCAATTATATGCAATGAAAAATAATCTAAATAGTATTCTTCATTTTCAATATGATGAACAATTTCATTGTCGTTTTATACATTCTCGACCAGATCATCCAGTTAATTTTGATTTTATTCGTAATAAAACATCAAGTATATTTCGTTCAATAGATGATTCATATTCAGATATATTCGATTTTCGTATTCAATTATCACGAATAAAACATTTATCACAAACTGATCCTATTGTTTTAGATATATTACGTGGTGTACCTATTGATCAAGTTTTATTTCTTGATACATCAACACAAGTTTTACATGTTTCATCAAAATTACAAAAATTTGTTAAATATTTAAAATGTACACGTTCAAGTAGTTATCAAAATTTTGATGATCAATTTGTTATAAATATTGGTACATATGAAGAATTTCAATTAAATAGACAAGGTCAATGTGAACCATTAATGAAATCATCCAATACAATGACAATTGAATTACTTGATGTGAAAACTATACCATCAGGAAAAAAACTTTATGATACTGGAATGTGGTTTTCAACGTTATGTCAAACATGTGTTGATTTACCGACAGCAACAATTGAAAAAGATTATAATAAATCATTTAAATGGTTTTCAAGTATATTTGTTTGGGGTAAAAAATATAATCAATCAATAAAACAAATGAGTGTTAATCAATTAACAACATATAAAACACAACAATCTACACAAAGTTATACAAGTGAAGAATTAGCATTTGTAAAAAAAATTTTACGAGAAGAAAATTTACGAAATATTTTATTGAATACAAATGAAGAAAAATCTTATGATAGAAAAGATATTGAACAAATATTTGAAAATATTATGAAAAGATTAAAAACAAGTGCTGCACCATCAGCTAATGAAGCTATGAAAAAAGTTGAACGAGCCTATCGTCTTGTATGTAAAGAACTTATTGAGTCATAAATGAAGTTTATGCTTTAATAAATTACTTTTGGATAATAAATTTTGTTTGAAAAGCTTTTTCATTTGTTACTCGTTTGTGTTTAAAATATATTTTTAAGATACCGAAAATGTAAAACTCCAATTAATCATTATTCTCATTCATTGATATATGACCTGACCGAGTATGACGAACTGATCATGAATATGAAGTTTGTATTTCGATTCGTCTATTGTTTAGTTGAAATTGAAGCTGTGAAAAAAATCGAATGACTAAGCATGTCACACTGAGTATCACGGAATCGCTTTTTTTCGCAGTAATGCTATAATTTTAGGTATATTTATTTTGTAAGCTTTTTGAAGATATCTTCTTGTGATTCATCATGAAAAACTGAGTATGAGACTGTTATTTGATTAGATTCCGAGTTAGCAAGGTTAAAAAAAGTCGATCCGAAATAAATAATTCAACAATGTCTCATGGCACGTATTTGTGAACAGTCTTGGAAACTTATCTCAGTTTCTGTAGAATTCACATATGTTATCGAAGGAAATAATGAGTGTGAGTTTAAATCGACGTTTTTGTGACTCCGTCCTAAGTTCTAGCAACCAGTGATGGAAGAAGAAAAATCAAGGGTCATTGGGCACATTTCTCTAGTAACCGAAGGGCGAGGGAGGCTGTCGAGCATTGAGTACATTTTTGTAGCAACAGGGGAAGGCGCATCAGTAATAACAATGCTTAGATAATTCGGAGAACTTTCTAGGATCTTCAAAAGCATTCTATGAATCTAAAATTTCTACTGTGAATTCTAACTAGTTTAAATATTGTGAGTTTTGGTATTTATTAGGTTGGAAATAATATTTTGCCAGGAGTTGCCGCTATAATTTCAGATAGAGTAAATAATGAATTTCATATCAAACGAAAGCCCGTCAAAAATGGGGTTTATTGGTACCAAACAATAAGGGTTATGACAACTTTCGCACGTTGAAATGTCTAAATTTAGAAAATTCCACCGATCATAGCTGTGAGCAAAGTTATTGATGAGATAAAGTTCAAACTAAATATGATACAAAATTCTTTAATTTTTTATTGTTTAATGGTTACAATGAATAATCAGTATGATAACCGCTAGCATTCTTTAGTGCACACAGTCGAGATGGATACGAACATAGAAGAGTTTCAAATAAATCAGTATCAGTTTCCATGTTTGTCAAAACAACTGAAATATGCATTTTGAGTATTTCTTCAAGTTAACGAGAATGTCCAGTTTTTGATAACATTTTTTTCAACTACATTCTTGATTATTCTTCCAATATGTTCCGCCACATTCAAATCGGATGAATTTCCAGGTCAAATATCATTACCCCCAAACTTAACGTCGTTGTCTTGAAGCAAATGTTGATTCTGATTTGCTCGCATACATGGTGCTTTATCATGGGCAAATATAACTTCATTAGAATCAGTAACATTTTCTTCATTTTTTAAGAACGGAAATGCGTTTTCAGTTAAAATTATATCACGAAAATATTGACCAGTCCAAGATTCATCTTTATCTTTGATTATCCAATGTAACCTCTTAGCAGTAAATATAACAAAAATCCCAATACATGCTTGACTTTTAATCATTTCATGATAACGTTTATCTTCTTCAATATCGCCGATACTTTTTGTCCAAATTCGGTCATTCTGATAATTTGATCGACGAATAACCTAAACAAAAAATTCATTAGATGCTGGGAGATGAAGAAAATCCTCTTCCGTCCAATCTTTTAACCAATCGTATATCCATAATCGATACGATATATGAGTTTCCGATTTTAATGGTTTTGGAGTAATATGGAACGGCTTTAAACCTTCTCGATGACAGTAGTTATTAATTGTTCTTGGAACGACGTACTCTTTTTGCTTTTCTGCAATTTTCTTCACCACAACAGAATAACTTTTTCTTTGTCGACCACTCGCTTTAAGAACGATGTCTTAACTTGCTTGTAATAATTTAAGCTTAAGACCAGCATTTGAATAATCAACAAAACATTGGTCATATGATTTTTCTCATCAGTCTGTAACAAATCGAATCAAGCGATGAACTTTCTCGACGATCCCATGTCGATTAATAAATGTTGCACCGACAGAGTGTGAGTGCGAGTATAGATGTGGTTGTAGATGAAAATAGTCAGGACTAGATTCATACCCACATCCCGCTGATCTCTAGTGATGTGAGTGAGGAGAAGATCATCACCTACATACATTCACACTGACACAAACCTACACACATACACCAACATTCTCACCTACAAACTCATAATCCACATTCACATTCTCAAAATGGCTTTAATAGAAATTTATTTAAAATCTCATTGAGAAGATTTATGTGGAGACCGAAATTACGCAATGAATCTTTCAAAAGTTTTGTTTTACAAATGAATTCTCCATATCCTGTTTAATAATTATTTTATTTTTTTTCAATAAAACTCATGTTTATGAAGGACATCTATTCTATATAAAACTTTCACTTTCCTTATAGTGGTGCGCTGGTTAGTCAATGAATTTTTGTCTTGTTCTGTACTGACGTGTACATAAACAAGAGGAGTGTGGTTAAACTGCACATGGACCTAGGATGTTCTTGTTCAAAGTAGACTCACGTCATATACACGGTTGGAAAAAATACTATTCTAGGGGGGTAACGCTATAATTTCAAATAGAAGACATAATGAATTTTATATCAAATGAAAGCTCGTCAAAAATGGGGTTTATTGATACTAAATAGTGAGGCTTGTAAAAACTTTCTAATGTCAAACTTAAGAAGTTTTCAGAAATTTTATATTTTTTTGGGGTGGAAAATCAAGGTGCCACTGATTCAAAAATGAAGTCAATTTTTTTCTTGAATATTTTTACATGGTTTGATAGACCTCGTTGAGCTCTACAAAACTGTGCATGTTAAAAAAATTTTGAGGCATCTTTTTTAGATAAAAAGTTCAAAAAACTACTCGGGAAACCTCAAAAACATTTAAAAACTCTTTTTTTTTTCAAATTGAAGAAGTACGCTCAATTTTTCAATAAAAGTAGCTTTTTTCGTTGTTTTTACTACCTCAGACGTCTCGAAATATACTCGTTCGATGCAGTGTGAAAAGCTGCGTCTAATGAGTATGTTTCGAAACGCCTGACGGAGTAAAAACAATGAAAAAAGCTACTTTATTGAAAAAGTAAGTGTTGTTCTTCCACATGAAAAATATGAATTTTTTTCATGTTTTCTAAGATTTTCCAAATAGTTTTTTTGAATTTTTTATCGCAAAAAAAGCGTCTTAAATTTTTTTTAATGTATACAGTTTTATAGAGCTCGACGAGCTCTATCGAACCGTGTAAAAATATTCAAGAAAAACATTTTACTCCATTCTTGAATCACTAGTACTTTAATTTTCATCCCAAAAAAAGTATAAAATTTCTGAAAATTTATTAAGCTCGACATTAAAAGGTTTTCATAACCCTCACTATTTAATACCAATAAACCCCATTTTAACGAGCTTCCATTTGATATAAAATTTATTATGTCTTCTATTTGAAATTATAGCGTTACCCTCCTGGAATAATATTTTTTCCAACCGTGTACATTTGATAGACATTTTCATAATTGAATTCATGTGTTCTAATTGATTCTTAGAGAAGTAGAGAAAGTTCGATCAGCAATAATCTTATTGTAGGGTGGATCCTTCCTTGCTCCAATAACAATATAGAATATGAGAAAGACAACTGCATTCAATTTCTATATATAATTAGAAGTATCTCGATAAAATACTGATTTTTGTGTTTATTTTCATTGAGTATGAAATGATATGTTCACAGCTTATTTATTATCTTTAGATTGATCAATCTGCTAGTTTTCATCACTTCTTTCACAAAGATTTTCTAGTTTACTTTGAATGTTGAAATCGTTCAAAAGACTCCGACAGAAATATCTGATTGTACGTAATGAGAGAACTGAGGATATCATTATTTTTGTGAAATAAAAATCCAAAAATAAGATTGAAAATGAGAATCAGAAGAGAGAATGTCTAGTTGACATGAAATAGGTGAAAATCGATTGGATGTAAACATCAAGGTTCTGTCGATTGAACAATGATATAAAGAGGTATTAAAAGAAAGAGTTTACTTGGATTTTTTTCACCTGTAATCCCTTATTCAACGTTTATTTTAGATAAGCTCCTATCAGATTCTTCTTCATTAGTTGCCTTTAACGTTCTTATTCCCTGTTTGTATCGTTGTTATAAAATATGATGATTAAGTACAAAAAGGAAACTAGTTGAACAATGTTCTTTTCATAGAATAGCTCATCTCTAGTCAGAATGCGACTTGGAAAGAGGGTTTCTAAGTTTCGTTTTCATTATTGGCTTGTAATAAATACTGTTTATACAGAGAAATATCTATTCGTTTGGATGAATCAAATACTTCAAAATAGGATTGAGTCTATTTTTCTGGTTATCTACGGTCATTAAATCTAATCCAGTGACTGGAAACTTGTTGTTTGTTAAATGAGTCACTAACAACTTCGATTTCTTCTTGAGACTCTTTCTTCAATAAAAAATGACTCGTCATATGAATGCTTCAATTATTGATGAAGAGTCAGCATGAGATAACGATATTTTTTCGTGCCCATTAGCAATTAATTTTCATTAGAGTAAGTTTTCATTCTTGTCGGCATGTATGCTTATTTTTTTAGCAGTCTCGACAATCTTACCCTCTCTGTTATGTGCTATATGATGAATTTATGCATAGTCATGCATACTTTTTCCACGCTGGTGATTTATATAGTTTTCTTCGTCTCACATGAACGTTTTGAGTTGTTCTTGGAACATGATGCACCTTTGTTTATTTTCTTTATATCATTCAAGAATATTCTAACTCAACATGGCACGAATACCGTCAGATGTATCACTGTTGATTCAACCTTCGATTTCTTTATCGTCAGCATCTTTTCCTGTCTATCGACGTCGTTTTTATGTCTTGTTTGTTTTTGCCTTTCTTGCATTTAATCAATGTCTCTTTTGGTTGACATTTTCTCCAATCTCTCAAAGTACTCAAGCTTATTATCATATAACAGAGAGTACTATCAATTTGCTTCTCAATTGGGGACCAATTATTTTCATTCCATGCTTACCATTAGCCTATCTTCTATTGAATAAGCACCATGGACTTCGAAAATGTGTCGTTATACTCGCCGTAACAGATTTGTTGGCAACACTGTTTCGTATTTTACCCTCAATGATCGTATCACCTTCGAGTACTCATTTTACTTCGATCTCTCTCTTCTGCATACATATTGGCCAAATATTAAATGCTGCATGCGGACCTTTGGTTATGGCACCTGTTTCGCAACTCTCATGTCTTTGGTTCGGGCCAAATGAGAGAACACGTGCAACCACGTTAGCCATCGTAGCCAATGGCTTCGGTTCGACTATTGGTTTTCTCATTAGTCCTTGGATTGTGAACACACCCGAACGTATTCCTCAACTTCTTTATATTCATTTTGGTCTCGCCTTGATTCCTTGTATACTGACACTAATATACTTTCCAGCACAACCACCACAAGCTCCTTCACCCACTGCTCAATTGCTTATTGATGGCTCGGCAAGCGAACGAAACGTTAGTTCATTGGGTGTTTATATAAAAAATCTCAGACAATGTTTTGCCACACCTTCATTCCTACCTCTCTGCTCCGTTGGTGGTCTGTTAGGTGGTGCCTTTGCAGCATGGACGAGTCTCTTTGCTAATATTCTAGCACCAGAGAACTTCACAGAGAGACAATCAGGTAAGACCAACAAAAACAAAACAAAATTGCTTTTAACTATTTTTTCAGGTTGGTTTGGTTTTGGTTCAACTCTGGCTGCAATTGTCGGTGGTCTGTTTACGAGCACTCTGGCTGACATGCATTACTTTCGTCGTTCATTCAGATCTATAATTCTCACAATGCTTGTTGGTTGTTTCATTGCTCTCCTGTGGTTTGATTTGTCGGTTCGTACTGTCTTCTATGATGAACCAATTTTGAAGCCCACTGTCACTACCATCACTCTAGCAGTGACATTAGTTGGTCTTTTTCAAGGTTCCGCAGCGCCGCTGGTCTATGAAGCTCTAGCTGAAATCATGTTTCCCTTACCGGAGTCACTATCTGCATCAGTTTTGGTTCAATTTAACAACGTTACGGCTCTCGTTCTTCTCTTCATTCCACCCACTTTGTACCAATGGATGAATTTACTCATTGTTGTTGCTGTCGGTAGCTGTATTCTGATGATGACATATGTAGAAATCGACTACAAGAGACGAAATGAAGACGAAAGAAAAGACTAGAAATTCATATATGTTTTATCGGTTATTGCCTATCGAACGTCCAAAAGATATTGTTCATCCTTTTGAAATAGAAATCTACTTTTTAGTGGAACTGTTTCATTTGTTTTGGAAGATTTACTTTCAATATGAATCTCACGAAATTGAATCCTTTCTAATGTGACTCGATGATATTTTTCATATCCTGTCAAAATGAAAGGAAGGCAGTATTTCATTGATTTACATGACTTTCCGCCAAAAAATAAATGTTCTGCTTATGACTCACTCAAATTCATATGCTTGGTCTTCTAAAAGTTCTTCCAGCTCATGAAATTGTATTGGTGCGTTCTCTAGTTTTTGCTATAATATCATTGAATGAATATGTATGCAAAATACAATTAAAATAGACTGATGCATTATTATTCTGTGATGAGCTTTCTTAATAAGAATAAAGATGTCATCATTTTCAAATAAAAGTCTTGTGAATGAAGAGCTCTTGCGAAAAGACGTAGAGCTACGTGACAACTCTTCGTTATAGACCTTATTGGCAAACGAGTGAGTTTGAACTGCTGAATTCCTGGTGGTAGCTCAAATCAAATCAATGAATCTGTTTCAAGCTAATAAGTGCTACAGTAACTGTTCTCTCGTGCAGGAGAGTACTCATATCGAGAAGTCAAGAGAATCAACCATGTTTTGCATCCGATGTTTCTCTCAATCATTAAATGTCAATTCTATTCAGCAATCCTTAACCTCAATGGATGAGTATCAAGTATTTGAACAGGCAAATATAGATCTTGGATCTCAATTTCATATGATAAAAAACAAATGTGTGAAAGTTCTACATCAGTTTATCTCAGACGAGCTTGTAAACCAGTGCAATGTGTTTTCAAAAGGGTTAGTCGACTCTATCTTGCATGAGAGTCTAAATCGGGTGCCTACTTCGATGGAAAAGAACTGAAGTTATATCTGGATTCTTTATAACAACTCCTATAAGCTCCATGACTTTGAGAGATGATATGCTTAATCAAAGATCACTTAGCATTTTAATTAGTAAAACAATTCATGCAAGGAAAAATGAAGCATTCCATTCTTGATTCATGTGTTACTACACTGATTATCATGTGTCTGAAAATTTCATCATATAACAGTATTTTCTGTAGTCTATTACAGTTTCGATCTAGAAGCTATCGAACTTGTGATCATTTCTATCCGTCGCGTTCGCTAATTCTTGCTCATATCCTAAATGTCTCCTGTAAAACGCTCGTTCGAAGAAATCTCCGCACTGGCCGAGTCATCAAGCGCTGTTTTCGAAAAGATACAAATTCAACGTTGGTTCAACATGCAGTTTTGCTTTGAATCGAAAAGCCACAATCGATTCCAATCGATCGAATATCAACCTCGCATGTTTGTCTTTTCCATGAGCATTTTCCTGTGTTTGATCAAATTCATTGCCATAGATGTTTTCTATTATTTCAGAGCTAGTTTCTTCCTAGTGAGTGCTACTAGAAGCTACCAAAGTAATACTTGTGCATCTGGTATATCTGCTAGATCTCTATCAGTTATTTGAAATTCGACTTAAATATTGTGCTTCGTGCCTGAAATATTCAAGTTGATGTTGAGAAAATTTGACATCAAATGCAACTACGATTTGCTGATTTGACAGAAAAAACAACATCTTCATTTTACCGATAGCGTGGAGATTTTTTACTCTATAAATAATTCATAATCGGTGTCATGGTTGTTTCTCTGTAAAGTATCGTGAGTTTCTGCGCGACAAATAGATATAAAGATAGGTAAGTCAGCAATTTCTCAAGTAACAGATTACATCTAGAGTGGCTTGGCTTACCTATCTGTTAATATATTTTCCAAAATCAAAACAAAATTACTGACAGTTGTCTATATTTACAAAAAAGAAGTGAAAACACCATGTTGACACTTGAATATTATAATTGAAAAACGACTTATCAGATGATTCTCGGTTTATTTTGAAATAATATGTGCAAACAATAGAATAAAAATGTTCTAATTATCATACTCTACGCTCATAGGAATGATCAGAAAATTAACTTTAGAAACAATAGGAAATTATTGGCAGATGAAACTAATAGAACTATGCCTCAGTTTTTCTTAGTCTATTTCAGAATTGACTGTCAATTAAACTCACTAACCAACGCAAAAAAGCGTACCTACAACGTAAAGATATCTCAAATTAAAACGTTGTTATGAGATTTTCTTCCGAACATACCATTCTGTGTATGTATGGAATACTCAGTAAGAACATTCTAATATTGAGCAATCGAACACGAGCACATGTTTATCTGTGGTAGTCTTACTCGTCCAGATATCCATTAATAACTAAATGATAATTTCACAGGAGCGAAATCATTTTCAATATTTTCCTTCTTACATAGATGTACTAGCCTAATATTCAAAAGCAAGAAAATATATTCTTAATCCTGGTTTATTTTACTATTTCTGTACAATCTAACCAGTAGGTTCTTTCAAAAGCTTGACTAATCAAAATCCATCCTATAAAGCATATCAGTAATTAAACTTTTTTGCATATTTATTGAACTGCTTAAGTGTAATTCATATGATCATCTCATCAACCCTCTCTAGGGAAGATTTCCTGTTGAACATAACTTTGTATTCCAATACACATCACTGTAGCCTTTAGTCTACTAATGGTATGTGAATGCCATGCTTTTCTGCACTATCCATAAACCATTTTTCAACGAGTTTCTGTTTGTCATTAAAAATTCGATGTCCACCAGGATTGGATAAAACTGCTTGTTGATTAGCAACCACATAATAAACATCAGGATAGCTTGATATAATTGAAAAATGTGCATAAAACCCAGAATAACCCAAACCACCACTAAATTGATAAGGACCTTCTTTTTCGTTACCTGAACTCGGTAGTGTTTGAATTATTTTATTTAAATCTCCCCATTGTTCAGGGGATAGCGGCCAAACTGGATTTGGACGGCCAGAATAAAGATATATAGTTGCAAATGAATCGACAAATTCTTCTCCCATCATTGCAACACCGACTTCATAAGATGACAGTGTAAAAATGCACAAAACAGCGAAACGTATGAATATAAGATACGCCACGTTTTTTGAATGACGTCAAGGTAAGTCGAGAAAGTAAAATAAAAAGGTAGTAGAGCGAAGATATTTTCGATAGGGACGAGAGAGAAAAAAGCAAGATTGCCACAGAACAGTAAAAGGAAAGAAAAAAGAATGTCCAAAGTACAGGTCGATGGTGAAAAGTGAAGGAATACTTTTTTTTTGAAAGTAGAAATGGAAGGTACTAGTAGGGGAAAGAAAAAATTTAATACACGCTTCAAAAACAATATCTATTGATTTTTGCAATCGAGATGTTGATGATTATCTCTAATATAAATGTCTCAGTGATCCTCATTTAGGTTTTAAACAGAAAAACAGAAATGCAAACATTATGTCTCCAGATTGTCTCCACATATTAGAGGTATTATTTTTCAATTTTAGCGGATTAGAAAATATGATTAACGTTTTCATAGTGTACAGAGAATAGATAGGCTTCGAACATTGTTTAAATATACTAGAAAACTGAATCTTCTTCATTTTTACTACTTATGCCGAAATTTGAAGAACTATGATCATGCCTATTTGAGAGTGTATAGGTGGGTGTGAGTGAGAATCCTTCTGTTGAATCATACTCACTCACGTACTTTTGGCTCTATCAATGTATAATAAACTCAAATAGAACAAAGATAACATTTTTTGATCATACCTGCGACATTGACTCCAGATATAAAAAAGTGAGTTGTCGTAAAATATAAAATAAAAAAAACAGGAAATGTTCAGGATTAAATGTTGATTCTTCAGATAATAAATTTCAAAATTTTGTAACATCGACAACACATTAATCACCACGCATCCTGTGAATTATCTCTGTACGACCCATAAAATAGAGGTTCTTACAAACGTGCGTTGTACAATGTCTCTCACGCTATACAAGTCTATCGAATAACTCTTCAATTCGATCATTCAACATTAATTAAAAAGATTGTCAGCATTATCCATATCTATGAAGAGTTAAACAATGCAGAAGATGATGCATTTAAATAGTTATCTTTGATGAATTCTTGCGTTGCAACGGAATGCTTCTTCTCACACTCAAGTAAAGATTGTATCCGTTGTTGATCTCCTTACTTAAATCCTCGTTTTCAAGGATAATATAGAAAACACTCTTGAATTTACTCAACATTCTCTAGCAATGAAACTGCTGTTATTTAAAGAAGACCACATTGACACAACAAACAATCGGACAACTATATCTACGGATGTGGATGTGACTGTGCGTGTATTTCTTGTTTTCATCCACACTTACACCCTCAATTTTGTTGGATTGGAGTACTCCTACTAGTAGACAGAACATATTTGAAAGACAATAATTGCATACCATTGAATTATTGGAAAATAAAATTATAAGATGAGAAAATGATCAAGCAACCATGAAGTTTCGTTGTTATCTGAAAGCTAAAGTCATATGGTTTGGTTGGCAATGCATGACGAATATTGCTTATCAACACGATCAAAATCACGTTTGAATATAATTCGAAAATCAAGACGATATTTTTGGACATGGTT